AAACAAATGAAATTGAAAATTGTTATAATTTTAAAATATTGCAGGGAAAATTTGTGATGTGAAATTGCCACAGATGTGACATGCTAAAATTTTAAATTTTCATTTATAATGTACAAAAAAACTGTTTGAAATTTAAAGTTATTGATAAATTTTCAATGAAACTAAAAAATAACTATTTTTTTTATAATTTAATGAAATATTTTCTATAAAACTAAAAATAACAATTGTTTTAATTTATTGAAATATTATAAATGGGTAAAGCAGGGAAATAAGCTAGTGTGCAAAACTTAGCAACTTTTCTGATTTTGACATAATTTTACAAAAAATCAAGAGGGAGACATGAAATTCATACTACAGAGGCAACAGTACACAGTACTCATACGATGAAGAAAGTATTGTATGCATACATTTGGAACACACATGAATTAAATTTGGAACACACATGAATTGAATTTGGAACTGGAATGAATTGTACGGATACATTTTGGAACAAAGCAGACTAAGGATTTATTAATAAAATGGCTTTAGTAATAAACATCGTCTGGCCATGAGGAAGAAATACAAACCGAAATCTCTTTGTAAGTGATATGACTTTCCCTAACAGCAATGGATGCATGACACCATCTGTTCCTTCTAAATACAATTCAATTATACAGCAGTTCTTACTTCAAGAAGAGTTGCCATTCTTCAAGGATCACCTGTTTTTAGCTATCTGGTCTCGCGAGGATAGGATCGGATCTTGCTGCCGGGCATCTCCCCAAAGCATCCCACACATGTTCGACGGTATTTAAATCAAGGGAGTACGATGACCAATTCATTCTGCAGATATACTGACTTTCTAGAAGCTTCTCAATAACAGAGAACCTGTGTGGGCGTGCATTGTCGTCCACAAAATATGGAATCTGGGAACTCACGCACGTGTGGGAGGATAATTTCATCGCAATAACCATCTTCTGTACGTGAGCCACTGTCGCAAACATGGAGCTATCGTCCATTTAACATATTGTCTCTCCATACAAGCACTCCAAGACTTTCTTTCCCTGATGTTCGTTAGATAAAACTATTTTCCTACCCCTTCCATATCAACTGATGCTGAGAATCATTGCTCAGACTGAAATGACTATCATCAGTAAACAGAACTTGACTCCATTGATGAGATGTCAGTCTTTGTGTTCTTGACTAACCTGTAAACGATGCCGTCAATGGACTTCTGTTAATGGTATGCAGCGTTCAGAATGACGAGCGAATAAGCCAACTTTTTATGCAGACTTCTGGCATGATACCTGCCTTCTGGTTGCCTTACGCGCTTCTGAACGATGTTGCCCAATGTCTGGTTCGGTCTCTTTTCACCTGCAGGACGATATACCGTTCATCACTTGCCATTGTTTTCCTCGACCGACCAACTGCAACCTTTCTTACAACTGTATCTGTCATTTGGAAGGCTCTCCAAGCTCAAGAAACTACACTTTCGTCAATTCCAAATTCTCATTCAACATTCGTCAAACTTCAAGCTTATCGATCATTCTATCACGTGTAAAGGTATCTTGCTGATTTCTTGTAGCCATTATGAACATACGATTTAACATTCACTTGCAGGGAATGTCTGGAAATGCGTCCTTCCTCCTCCTTTTTAAGGCCTCTGTATCTGAACATTTCACCGTGACGACCCCTCTGATATTTGCATGGCATCACCTTCGACTGGGCTCTCTCTTCACTGTGTTAATCGCAAGAAGCCTTATTCAACAATTTCATAGTTGAAAAAGTCATTTGTTGCTTAAGTTTTGTATGGTGTATTTTTTGATGTAAAATTATCATAGGAAAACAGAAGAAAAAAAATATATATAATAATTTTTTTATTAATAAGTTAAAAAATTAATTAATTATTACTATATTGGTTAATACTATAAAAATACACAATCCAGTCACATTAATTGTGACCACCACCTACTTTCGACGTCAATGTGAAATAACCAATCACAAAATGCAGGTGGCAGACCATTGCAGTGGAGTGTATAAAAAGAATTCCACTTAATACCACATTCCACACTCCACTTAAAGCCAGAATATACAAGAGTGTATATTCGGGCTTTTGGCAGGTGGTCACATTAATATGACTGGACTGTGTAAATGTTTTTTAATTTTTATGTTAACATTTCAATAGCCCCTATTGAATTTTGTTCCCTGCTTTAGATCTTAAATATCAGTTATCAATTTTTAGTGTTTATCTTTTTATTCAGTATTTTATAATCAAGTGGCAGTATTTTACAGGGCCAGGTGGGTACATTAACAAGTCCTAGCAGCATCTTATTTTTCATATATAATTTTGTATTTTTTAATATGCTTTTCAATATTTTCATTATTAATCAATGTGCCACATTATAATTTTTCATTTATTTATCAAAAGTTTTATTAGTTTAACTTGATTTTTATATATTAATTTTTTTACATTTTTTCCTGTAAATATTTTATACTTTTTTTATTACTTAATTAAATCTTTTTATTTTTATATGTTTAATTATATAAACCAAATTATATATCTATAAGTCATACATATATAATCATATTTCATATATAATTTTTATATTTATCCATTACTATTCTTATTCATCTATTATTATTTATCCATTGCTGTTATATATAAATTATTTATACCTATAATATGTTAAAGATCATCATCCATAGTAATACACTGCAGGCCATTAAAATTGCTATACCAGGAAGAAATGCAAAAATAGAATGTTTATTGGACACACAAATTATAGTGAAAAAAAACCCAAATGATTAAATTGATTGAAATATCGGACGTATAGATTCTGAAAATCAGTACCCAGGAGAAGCCAGCTACCTCTGGTATCTATAGCAGCATTAATCCGCACCTTGGCATGAAATCAAACAAAGTTTGACTTGACTTGGACCACATTCCATACATCTTCAACACAATGCCAGAGTTCGTCGACAGTTGTGGATGGTGAGTGGCTAAGGGCCAATCGCTCAGCATCCATTGACCACATGTTTTCAATTCATGGCAAATCATAACGTACTGAACCACGGCAACAGTCGGAAGATAATTCGCATCTTTTATTTCAATGTGCTCTTTTCTGAAAAAGAGCACTTTCCCTTGATGGAATCTTAAAAGTTGATTGAGTCAAAAAAAAAAAAAATCTCAATTGAATAAATAAACTTTTCAACCGAATAACCAGATAAAAGTGTGACTTCATAACTGAGGCTATTCGTGTTTGTGCCCAAGCTTCAATTCCTAGAGGAAAATTGAGAAAATACAGACCTTTCTGCACCACTGAGTTAACAAAACTGAAAAAAAACACGAGAAGATGCCATAAACTGAGCCTGGGACGACATAAAAAACTAATGAAACTCTTCGTCTATCATCAGGCTGTCCTAAAACGAGCTATTAAAGAAGCTAAAAGAAAGGAATTTAAAAGATTTTTGCTTCAACTTTGGATTTCAGGAGAGCGGTGAAGTTCACCAAGTTCAAGTTTTTTCTCTTCTTTAAATAATGAACAAAATGTAACAAAAAATGAACCTTTGGTTAGAAATGGAAAATCATTTTATAACAACAAAGCCTTAGCCCTTGCCAAATGTTACGCCTCTGTGTGTAGACTCTAGTATAAAATAGGGCTAGACTTCCTCGTCAGCCGCCATTTTGACTATGTTGAGGAACTTCTTTTTAATAGTGACTTTACCCTTAATGAGCTTCACAGAGCTATGCATGAGACCAAAACGTCGTAAGAGCCCTGGACCCGATGATCTGAACAGTGAATTTTTCGTTAAACAGACTCTTCTTACCTTCTATAATATTACTTGGAAAACTTTATGCCACCTCAGAATGGAAAAGAGACTACCATAGTTCTCCCTCTTGAAGCCTCAAAAACCAACTGACAGTTTCTCCAGTTATAGACCTATTTCTCTAACAAACAGTTGTTGTAAATTAAAGGAAAGAATGGTAACTAATAGATTAAGCTTTTGTCTGGAAGACGAAAAGATCATCTCAGTTCTTCAGGCTGGTTTCCAAAGGAAACACAGTACTACAAAACAGGCAGTTTTCTTCTCACAATGCATTAAAGATGACATTCATAAAACTGAGTATGAGACTACTACTGTCAAATATTTTTTTATAAATAATGTAGGTGGTGCTATTGCATGAATGGGTTGAAAATCTAATCGTTTGCATAACTCAGCATGTTATATTTGCCCTACAAAATTCACATGTGTGTCGTGCCATCTTCCTAGTATAGCAATTTTTATGGTCTGTAGTGTTGATGATGATATGAAAGTGACACATTGAAATTGTATATATATTCCATTGAAATTGTATATTATATTCATTCATAATAAAAATATAAATTTGTCCTTTATGGCTGTTGTATTAATATTGCAAAGATTTTTAATTTGAGAAATATTATTACTCTGCACTAATTATTCTAGGACAGAGATGGCCAAACCTTTTTGGGAAGAGTGCCACTATTTGAAAAAAAAAAAAAATATGCCTGCCACTTTCAACTTTTCCAATATACTAAAATTTATAAAAAGGTGAAAAATATTATTTATATGCTGATCATAGAATTATTACACAAATAGCAACATTTTTTCATGTTCTGTATAGGAGATATTAAAAAAATTATATAAATAAAACAAAAGTACAAACTGAGGTTTTATTGTTAATAAATATTTTTAAATGTATAAAATAAAAAATGAACAACTTGAAGCCGTTAATTCTAAATAATTATTAAAACACTCAGTATTTATTTAAAGGGACTTTTGAATTTGTAGTTATTTTTATCGTCAACTAATATAAAGATTTATTCTTAATGATGCTAACAAAATTAGGTGTTTCAGGTGCATATCAGTTAATCTTGAGCGATATTTTGGTTTTATTATATTAATAATAGAAAACATTCATTCACAAATATGTTGATTTTATTATGCTTATAATAGAAAATATTTGTTTACAAACATATGCTGATTCAAACCTACAACAGGCCAACGGCCATACCATGCTGAATATACGGTTCTCGTGAGATCACCGAAGTCAAGCATCATTGGGCGCGGTCAGTACTTGGATGGTAGGCCACCTGGGAACACCGCGTGCCGTTGGCATTCGCAAATTTGGGACCTGAATGGCCGAGTGTCTAGAGCTCGGTTCCACAGATTTCGGGTTCGAATCCCGGCGGTGCCATGGATGTTTGTAGTGGTTCGGAATCCAATTTAAGCCGTAGGTCCCGGTCTCCTATGACTGTAAGAACGTCACGGAGCCAAAGTCAGACTTCTACCTACGGGTGCTCCATCACAACAGAAGCTGCTTCCTTCCCCATCAATCATGAGTACGTATGGGCTCGTAGGCTTGGCCAGCCAAATTGATAAGAACAACAACAACAAACCTACAACAATTAGGTTTGGTTTGTTGCTCTACGGTCATCTTATGCACATTTTAGGCTAAACAGACCGGGACCTACAGTTTAATGTGGATTCCGAACCACTACAAACATCCATGGTACCGCTGGGACTCGAACCTAAAACCTGTGTTACCGAGCGCCGGCCATTCAGGCCCTCAAACCTATAACAATATCTGACAGCCAAATCGTGTAAATTTAAGAAAATTGCTTGTTTCTACAAATTTCTGAAATTCAACATAGCTAGAATCCAACATAAATTGCTTATACATTTGCCAGATAACCACCCTAAAATCCAACAATCAATCCCTTTGTCGTAACAAAATCAGTACCAAAAAAATCTGTCATATGTTTTCTAAAGAAAGAAATCAAAAAATGAAAAATCTGTAGCTTAGCAAATAGCTATAAGTTGTTCTTGTTTATTTTCGTTAAAATTTAAATATTCAGTAAAATACTTTTTGAGTTTTCATATTAGAATACTAGAACAAAAAAAACTAGTTATTTGTTAATATTTTTTGGAAAATTCTTTTTACAAGTATATTTCGTAAGAAATAATCTTATGTAAAAATAACAAAAATATAATAGGAAAATATCGGTTTAAGGTATTTTTCTTATAGTAACTACCTTTTAAATTTGTTACTTAATTATCAAGGGTAACACCCAGTCAAATGAGTTTTAAAAATTAAATTTTCAAGAATAACATTGTAATTTACAAGAATAGGGGTGAAATAGTACCAGAACATATAAATGCATGCAAACATATTTTCAAAAGGGTCATTATAGTAAAATTTGTTGAATTACGGTACAGAATAAAAAAAATGCATCATTTATGTTATTCAATGAATACTTTTTTGATATTGAAATATTACATTATATTTAATAGAACTTAACCTAACGTGATAAAAGTTTAGTTTTGTAACATTTCATCAAATATATCATAAAATGTAACGAGAGATTTTTAGCAAGTGTAATGAAATTTTTAAATATGATTTTAACTAGAACTATTATATGGTACCTTTTTTTCCTGCATTATTAAATAATATTTCCAAATGTACAGATTGATTTAAAGCAGATGAACACAAACTTATTCAGAAAATTTTTTAAAAACTGCCATTATCTAATGATTTCTAGAACAACTATTTAGCCACAGGTTACTGGGATATTCGAATCGGTAATAATAATTCATATGTTTGATAAAAGTGATATATATCTGCATTGAAAAATGATATATATATATATATATACTCTTTGCCCCAACATTTTACTAAACATTTAACCGCGGAATGTTGAATATGTTTAATTATTCATTTCGATTATTTTTTAGTTAATGGCCAAGTGGCTGGCGCTGCGTATTATGCTTTTCGGGTTCGGAGCAAGTAAATAAAATCGAGTTATTATCATTCTGTGTTTTTTTCAACAACCCCTATTTAGCCGTAGAGCGTTGCGGGGATATCGAATCGGTACTCCGCGTCCGTGGATTATCTTCAAGGTGATATATATCTGCCCCTGAAGAAATGCAAATATGTAACGTCTGTACAGCGCTTTTATAGACATTTCAACCAAGCTGTCTAAGTGTTTGCCAGCTTTAAAGATTCTATTCTATATTACACTTTTTAATTTAATTTAGATGAACTATAAACATAGTATGATGAGCATGTGCCTCAACACAATATCATCAAAATGAAAATATCGTCATTCGTGAAGATGGAAAGCCTCTATAAAATCATTTAATAAATGGCATTTCAATATCGCCGATCAAAAAAGTGTTATCTATATATATATATATATATATATATATATAAAATCTAGAACAAGTAATGTTCTAGATTATATATAATATATATTTAGATTATAATCCTTTATGAAACTCCGTTATTATCCAAAACTCCTTGTCTCCTTATGAAACACTAGGGCATTTCTCCAAACTACGGCCCGCGGTACAAATATAATCTTTCAAGTGGCCCGCGACTGCGAAACTTATTGTTGCTGTAATTTGTATGCTTTTTTATATTCATCAATATGGGCCTGAATGGACGAGAAAATTTAACTGGCGCTCGGAAATACCACACGCATTATAAACCAGGTTCGAACATCACGGCGGTGCTCATCGGATGTTATAAATACCTATTTCCGTTTTAAACCAGTAGATGTCGTCAAGTGTCACGGTCGTAACATGATCGTAGAGCGTTGAGGGGGCATTGTTACTCCGCGTACCGTGGCTTTATCTTCAAGCAGAAAAACTAAACGCGCCCTGGATAATGCGAAGTGAGTAAAGGCTGGAAAGTTTGAGCCCCCGCTTATCTTAAGGCATCAAAGACAAGTGTCTAAGTGTTTGTCAGCTGCATTTTTTAGAACTCAAAAAAAAATATTCATCAATATTAAAAAGAAAAAAAAAAATTGTCGGGCAAAATTTCAACACATATGACATATAAAATCTTTAAAAATAAGTATAATTTCTTGAATCCATTTCTAATTTCTCAGAGTTATATACAAAAATTAATGATATATTTTATACATACATACATTTCTTTTAATTTTAACAAATTTTTAAAAAAAAATGAGATAAATATTAAAGAATGAAGGATAAATTTAAATCGATGAAAATATGCAATATTCAAAACGTACGGCATGTAAATTATTTAATTTATTTCAAAATTGTTGTTAGCAAGTGAAAAAAAATCTTAGGATAGAAAATGAACTACTCATTTTTTTAAACTTTAATATTTAACTAACAAATTAACGAGTTATTTGTATTAAGTTTGTACGTGTATAGTAAAAAAATCCAGATGAAAGTAAACACGTTTTAAAAAATAATTTAAATTGAAATTTGGCTTTAAAAATCAGCCTTTAAATTTATTAAAGGAACAAATATATTTTCATTTTTGGATATGGACCTTATTAACAAACTGATTCAGTGAAAAGAAATTAAGCTTTAACTATTCTAGTTTCAAATTTTGATTAATAAGCCCACGTAGTACTAGATAGTTTACAAGTTAGGGATAATTTAATGTCCAAAAATATAAAAGTACCAAGCATTTTTGAATTATTTATCGTTTTTAAATAATTTAAAATAACCACTAAACGTTTATCCATGACGAAAACACTTAGAAGAAATGAATTCAAACTGATTATTAAGTTGGTGGTTCAAATAAATCAATCTTTGAATGTATTGACTATTTTATTACACATACTAGTATTTAAACTTTTTGTACAATATGCATTAATGAAATACCTAATAATTAATAGAATACACATTCTAATCTCAAATGCCTCACACTTCAAAAAGACTTTAGCTAAAGCACGCTTCAAACTTGCACTTTTTCGCCCAATTAGCTTGGCGTCGCAGCGCCCTCAACGATCATTCATTCATCTTTTTTTCCACACCATAAGCACTGATAATGAAAATGAATAAATTACTGTTGTATTTAAATTTTAATTATGAAATATTTCAAAATTTAAAAAAAGTTAGCTATCAGTTCGTTGAAATGAATAACGAAAATGATGGAAAATTTAAAAAAAAAAAAAAAAAAATTGGTGCTGATTTGGTTTGCCTAAAATTATGCATTTAATGAAAATATATATATATATATATCGCGCCCCTTTCCAGAAAAAAATGCAATTTTTATATTTTTAAAATTGAAAAATAGGAAGTTATTCATTAAATTGTGTTGTTAGGTAATCAAATCGTGAAAAACAAGATTTAAAAAAAAATAATGTATTTCATTATCTTTTAAAAGGTTTATGGCTTTTTATATGATATAACTCTGATTGATGGATTGTTCTACTGATTTATAAATAAAGCTTCAACAAAACAAATAATTTTCTTTGTATAATTTTTTCAATGCAGCTGGCAGAAATTTAGACAGCTTGGTCGCCTTAAGGTAAGCGCTCCCAGACGTTACCCACTTTGCATTACCCAGGGCACGTAATTTGAAGATAAAACCACGGACGCGGAGTAACAATGTCCCCGCAACGCTCTATGTTCCTGTTAGACCGGAAACCTACGGTTTAAAGTGGATTCTGAAACACTACAAACATCCATGGCGCCGCCGGGACTGAACCCGAAACCTGTGTGGTACCGAGCGCCAGAGTGCTAGCCACTGGCCATTTAGACCCGATAATAAAACGTATTTACCTTTAGTAAAACACTTATCTTTTGTTGCTTATAAAAGGAAGGAACTTGAAAATCTGGGGAGTTGAAATGTCTATCTGTTGGGTTCGAGGTTGAGGATGCACATTCAATACTTCGAGGTCATTTTTAAATGGTGTCAAAAACGCAGCAAACCCCTCTTAGAACAATGAATTTGCTACATTTTCATACTAATGGCGAATCAGTGCTAGTCATTCGAAAAAGAAAAAAAAAAACCAGCATTTCAGCAATAAATCTGAAATAGTCTGAATCTAAACGCTTTCGTGATTTATCAAAAATCGACAAATACCTAACGAATTTTGAAATAATGAATTATTTAGAATCGCCTTTGAACTGCAAATATTAGTCTGATGTACTAAAATGCATTTTATTGAGAAAAATGTTGAAGTTAAAATACTAATTTCGATTCTCTTTGTATTGCTTTTCATTTTCTTTTCTGTATCAAATTGATACTTGAATACGGTTCAATAAAATGATTTGAAAATTGATTGCATAGTGGTTAGTGAAGAATGGAAAAAAATTATCTAATAATTCTTAAACAATATATATATTC